ACAAGTTGTTATTGTAAGCACTTTTCAAGTTTTCAAGATTGTATTGTTCTCCTTTAGATGTTATAATTAACAGGTGTGTGAGGCATAGAAGCATGGTTTCTTAGAGAATTCAACTCAACTAGGTCTGTAGAATTAGGAAAGCTAGCAGCTGAACATCATCAATGAAATGAAAATCTCCACCTAAGAACAACCTGACTATTTTGACTTTTAGCCTAAAATCAAAACAAAAAAATTTTTTTATACTGCTTTTTTCAGCGTGTTAACTTAAGGCAAATTTTATCAAATGTCATCATTACTAGGCATATCAAAATCAAAAGGCAAAAGAAAGCTTATAAAACTAAATAAGTTGCCTCTTACTTTAATGACTGTCATTAAAATGGAAATGGCATTGTTAATGTTGTTTTAAATTTTCTTTCTCCAATCAATACATAGTTGTTAAAATAAAATTGACTTAGTAATAAGTATAATATAAACAAATCAAATAATATTAATAAACAAATATATGCACTAAATAAAAGTGGATTTAACAACTTATCTGTTATTAGTTTGATAACCTAAAAAGAAAAATTCTGCGTAACTTTGTTTACATTATACTTCAAAAATTGACTTGCTGAAACAGTTGTTTGGACAAAATTCGTTAATAAATAGTTTGGGACATAATGCATAAAGGTTACCTCATTGCAATAAAACGTCTACACAAATGTATCCCTAAAACTAACAAGATTAGTTGTAAAACATGACATTTTTGAAAACATATTTGATAGCATAACAAGGTACATAAAATAACTTTTTTATTTTCATTTGCATAAAAGGTTGAAATTTCAATAACTTACGTCATCCATCAAAACAGTTACGTTTTGCATTTAAAAACGATAAATTAAAAAATATAAATGCTTTAAAAATAGTCTTTTTGTAGAAAAATCACCAGGATGACATAAGAATCTGATACAATAGACATTCATAGCTAAATATTCCAAATTTCAACTATCAAGCACAGATCAACTAAGATATTCCAAATCTTAGTTGGCCCAACTCAGGTTTTTTCACAATATGTGTGGAAAACAGAAAAGTGATTCTAAATCATTAAAAAAAATTATAGCAATATTTATTTTTATTCCACTTAATGTAATTAACAAGGAAAGATGGATCTTTTATATATTTTTTAATTTGAAAATTAAAGCATTCAGAGAAAAAAGTTGCTATTATTTTAAAGTTTGTGAATTTTTATACTTTTTATGCCAAAATACTTTTTTTTGTTGATAAATTCATGGCGTTACGCTGGTTTTTATATTGAGTGAAACAGTTCTGTCCTTTTACTATAACTGTTCCTAAGTGCTCCGAAAATTCTTATTTGTCTAGTTTTTTTCCATGAACATTAGTTCTTGGGAATTTGCTTCCTTCATCTTGTTTTAATGATTCATATAATTTGCAATCTTTTAAGTTATCTGTTGATCTTTATCTCGCTCTATAAACTTCATCTTTTCTCTTTTAGTAACTTCCAACTTTTTAGTGGTTGCTTGCAGCCTTGTTGGAAATAGAGATGTCAAAAAAAAATTGCGAATACTGCAAACATGATATTGTTATATTAAAATTTGTATTCAAAATGCAGTGTTTAATGCTGCATGTTTATATGTATGTACATGTAAAAAACGCATCACATATATTTGCAGTGTTTAATGCTGTGTAAATAAATGTATATAATATAAATGCAGTGTTTAATGCTGCATGTTTATATGTATGTACATATATGCATGCAGCAACCATGATATGTAGAAAAGAGAAAGAGATGCAACTTTATGATGATAAGAGAGAGACTCAAGTTTAGCAGATAGATCCAACTATGTTTACAATGCAGGATTATAAAGTTGAGTCATCAGCAAAAAAAGCCACTTTAGATCTAAGGTTGTCAGGAAAATCATTAATGTAGATAAGAAACAAAACAGGGCCAAGGATAGAATCTTGAGGTATCCCAGAAGATACTGGAAATGAAGAAGAGTGTTGGCCTTTGAGAAAGACTAAAAAGCAGTTAGAAATAAACTATTTTATAATCTCAAAAACTTTCCAAGATACACAATGTGAAGCAAGCTTGTGGATAAGCCCAGACAAAACTTTGTCAAAAGTTTTGCATGCTAGTCTATATCAACATGGCACTGTTAGTACTCTGATATTTTTCAGCTGTTGATGGAACCAGCCTCTCTGAGAGATATCACTGAGTTTGGGAAACCTGACTACCAGCCGGCCTCAGAACCATAAAACTGAGTTTTAGAGCTGTACCCTCATTTGGAGATAATAGAATGAGTTGCCTAGTCATAAAAAACAGAGACACAATCAAAATCCATGCATTGAGTCAAGAAGATCCAGCGTTTAACATCCTAAATTGGAAACAATGCATTAAAAATAAATCTGTGTTAGCCTAATAGATGAAGAAGGGGTGCGAGGCTGGTCAACAGATAAAATCTGTTTACCCTTGAGTCTTTGCCTAGGAGGCCTTCTACAAGACAATAGCCGGATGTGTTTAATATCTGCCCAAGATGAGTATTTTTATTGAGGCACCATCTCTAGCCTTTACACAACCAAGAGCCCCAAGGCAGGGAGCGTTTTAAGTTGGAGTTGGCTAATCAAAGTAATAAAAATAATAAAGAAACATTGCATAGCAAAGTATAGCATGAAATTCAAAAAAAAAAAATTATAAAACATGTGCAAAACATGTAGATAGAGTTACAAAAAAAAACACGTCCTTTTTTTTTAATAATAGTAATGAGGCAATTGTATGCACTACTAAATTGTGTACTGAGTACTATCTATGCTTTGAGTCTTCAGCATATTTAAAAATGGATAAAGTACCAACCCTAACACAAAAAGCCATCATCATAACCAAGCTCTCTAAACCTCATTCACTAATTTTCGTGGTCTTTGAAATAACTTTTCTTCTGTTGAGTCTAATTTCTTGCAAAGTTCATCAGACCTACTTGCTCTTTGCGAAACTAATTTGAGTTCAGCTGTCTCATCTTGCGATCTTAGTGTTGATGGTTATCATCCTTTAATTTATAAAGACTCCAATAGTCACATGCTTGGCCTGGGCATTTACATTTGTAAGAACTCACCCATGTGTCGGAAAACTAGGTTTGAATCCACAGACTGTTCTTTTATGTGCTTTTGTTTAGCACCACTTCACTCTATCGTCTTTTTCTTTGTTCTATATTGCTCTGCTTTATCTCAAGACGATGATCTATATTGTTCTATATATCTCTCTCTTTTTGATGTTATTTCTGATCAAGTTGACTAAGCCTTCTCTCTTTATCCATCAGCCAATACGATTGTTGTTGGTAACTTTAATGCTATCATAATAAATGGCTTGGTTCTAGTGTCAGTGACTCTGCTGGCATTAAGGCCCTTAACTTTTACCTTTCTCAATCTCTAACTAAAATAATTAACTTTCCAATTTGCTTTCCAGACAACCTGAATCATTTACCTTCTCTACTCGACTTATGTCTTGTTTCTGATCCTTGTCAGTGCTCAGTTTCTCCACATTCACCCTTAGGTGCTTCTGATCATGGTTTGATCTCATTCTTCTTTATCATCAGAATCCCCCTATCATTGTACCTCTTACAACTACCTTAAAGCTGACTGGGACTCTTTCCATTATTTTCTTTGTGATGGTCCTTGGGTAAAAATTCTTTTGTCTTCCTGCTAAAAAATGTGCTTCTTACATAACTTTGTGGATTCAGGCAGGCATGGAGTTTTTTATTCCCTCGCAACAATTCCAAGTCAATTCTTACTCTTCTCCATGGTTTTCCTCATATTGTGCTGCCGCAATTTCCGAAAAATTGAAACAGTTACTTCCATATCTATCAGCAAAACGATTCTCCAGAAAACAGACTATTGCTGGAAACCATTATAAAAAGATTTTGTCAAACGCCAAAGACCGCTCAGGTCATGAAATTTTGAATTTCACCTCAAAATTAGGTTCTCATTAGCTCTGGAGAATCTTTAACAGTATCAATAATAAGGGCTAATCTGTTATTCTACCTTACTTGTATGGTTCAAATTTTGTCACCTCACCTAAAGACAAAGCTGAATTGTTTGCTAAGAACTCTTCATCAATATCATCTCTTGATTCCACAAGTTGCATTCTACCTGAGTTAGTTGTCAAACAGGTTGATCCTTTGCTTGACATTTGTATCACTTCAGCTTCTGAATCTGAAGTGATTTCCTGTTTAGACTCTTCTACAGCTTGTGGCTTGGACAACATACCTGTTTTAGTCTTGCAGAAGTGTTCTCCTGAGCTGTTGTCTATACTTTCAAAATTATTCAACAAGTGCTTATCAGAGTCTTGTTTTCCAGCCTGCTGGAAAGCAGCATCTGTTATCCCTATTTTTAAATATTCTGGAGAGTGATCTGATTTATCTAACTACCGTCCCATTAGTCTTCTTCCTATCATAAGCAAGGTTTTTGAATCTTTAATCAACAAATACTGAATCTTGAATCTAATTATTTACTTTCTGATCATCAATATGGATTTCAATCTTCTTGTTCTACAGCTGATTTGCTAACATTAATAACCAATAGGTTTTACTGTGCATTAAGTAGAGTTGGTGAGGTTAAGGCCATCGCTCTTGATATTTCTAAAGCTTTTGATCAAGTTTGGGATGCTGGTCTTCTCCATAAGCTTTTTTCTTACGGTGTTTCTGGTAATATCTTTAAAATTATGGATTCTTTCCAATCGTAGTATAGGAGTTGTCCTCTATGGATAGCACTCTTCTTCATATCCTGTAACTTCAGGGATTCCTCAAGGTTCATCTTTGGCCCTATACTTTTTTTAATTTATATTCTTTTTTTAAATTATATGATCTTCCAGATATTCTCGAGAAAAAAAAAAAAAAAAAAACATTAAATGTTGTGTACAGTGTTAATTATTTTATTCAAAATAAGTTTTCTAATAATACACATAAAATATTACATTTTTGTGATTTTTTTTTTTTTGTTTTTTTGTTTTTTAGGTAATGAAAATGCTCCACCAAAGGTATTTTATATTTTAAAATGATAGCTATTACAAAATATAACAAATGTTGTTGTGCTTAGTTATTTTATGTTTAAATTTTAATTGCGTTTTTCATTTTAATGTTATTGAAAGATATTCAGGTAAAATTTATTAAAAATTAAGAAAGAACTGAATTAAAAAAAACAGCATTTATCATCAATTTGATCAAAAGTCTTTAGGGTTTCCTGTAACACTGCTTTGTTATCTATGTTTTATTTACCGTTGCCAAAAACTATCTTGTTCAAAAATTGGGGCAGAAAGATTTTGTTTGATGTAAATTGTTCTCAAATACTTTATCCACCAGCTTAAGTTTACTTTAAGTTTGTGTTTGCTTCAGCAACACATATTAAAATAGGATATATGCAGTAGTATACTAGTAGTAAAACACTTGATTCACAATCAAGAGGTTCAAAATTCGAATCCATCCTATGCCTCTATAAGTACTGCGCTCAGCCTGCTTCACCACATGAGTTTAAGGTTATGAGAGAGTTGCAATTTAAAAAAAAGAGAGAAAACTGTACCTTTGTACTGTCCTTGGCTGTAGTCATTTAATTTAATAATTTTTTTTTTTTTAAGATTTTTGTGTTTGTTTACATTTTTATTAATTTAGAAACTTTTAAATTTTTTGTCAATTTAATTGTGGTAGCAATTTAAGGTTTTAGCATTAAAAAATAATTGTGGTAGCAATTTAAGGTTTTAGCATTAAAAAATAGATTAATCTACTATTTTACAAATAAACAAGTGATAAACTTTTCTTTAATTTTTTACAGCTTGCTGTCATTTATATCGTTTTCGCATTGTGAAAGCATTTTGAATAACACACTTACAGATGTTTTTCTTTTAAAGCACAAAATAAATGTGAAAGTAGAAAAACTACTAAAAAAAAGTTACCTTTTTTCTACTTCCATAGCACCTTATAAAGTCCCAGAAAGTGTGGACTCTAGGGTGCTAATTTTTGTCCACACCTAAAAGAGCTTGCAAAATTAAGGCATTTTTAGCAAACTTACCGTGTTTTGCATATTTAAATTTCTGCTTTTCCTCTATATTTGGCAATGTAGAAAATAAGAAACTGAATGCAAGCATTTAATTCCACTGGCTCATACAAGGAATTGAAGTCAATTTTTTTTTTTTTTTGAATCGTCCAAATTATTTATTTATGAATTTTTATCTAAGTTCTTCATTACTTAATTTTATAAAAAAAAAAAGTTGCTTCAAAACTAAAAAATTTTTATTTTTAAATTAATAGTTTTTAATAAAATCAATTAATTTAATGTTAAAATTTTTTTTTAAATATCAAAACAATTTTTATAAAATATTAAAAAAAATTTAAATTAAATTCCTAATACTTTGATATGCTACTACATTATGTTATATAAGGGATCGCCCATAAATTATGTAACATAAACTTTCACAATAAACAAAACAAAAAAAGATCAAAAGTTTTCTCTTGCCAAGTCTTAATTTTTCTTTTTTTTTTCTTTTTTTTTTTTTTGGTTATTTCACCTCTTCAAGGCGGAGAAAGCTACTACAGGCGAGGAGGCTACTTAATTGTGGTTATAACCCTCTCTCAACTCTATAAATCCGAAACATGAACCTTGATGAACAAGGCCGCTGCGTGGAGAAACAAGTTGAGCGTGGTACTACCAGGGACATGGTGGGGATCGAACTCGGAACCTCTCGCTTATGAAGCGAGTGCTCTACCACTACACCGCTACCGCATAATTTACATAAAAAATCAAAATATCCCATCAAGTTTAATGAAAACTGCTGCGTAAAAAAGCTTATTATCTACTACTTCTGTTTTTAAAATATGTTTTGTGTTGCATAATTTATGGATGATCCCTAAACAACATAAACAAAAAATGTTAATTGGTATTTTTGAATTAATTTAAAAACAATTTATTTTTTGCAATGGCTTTGCAAATGGTGGTAAAAGCTATACAAAAAAATAAATAAAAAGATTAAATAAAAAACAAAAAACAGTTGGAAGAGAAAATGTTCTAAGTTTTCTTAGTCTCATACAAAAATTTCAAAAAGAAATTAAAATAAGAACTTTAAGTTAACGAAGAAAATTGATTGTACTTTTTATTTGCTCATTTTAAAAACTGCAAATATAAGTTATGTTATTAACCCTCATGTACAGCTAACTGAATACATAATACTAAGAAGGCAATTGTTTTATGAAACACTACTTTAAAAATTACCAATGCTATATAAAACAAAATTTTTAAAAGATATATATATTTTTTAAATAATTCTATATACAATTAAAGAAAAATAGTGCAAATGCGCAATTAGTAATTTTGAATTTATTCATTTTTATTCATTTTTTGCCATTTGCAGCAAAAAATTACAAAAAAATAAATTAAAAGATTTAAAGAAGAAAAAAATGACTAAGTACAGTTGAAAGAACAAATGTTCTTTAGTTAAATACAGCAATTATTATATATTATTAAAATAATATATTAAAATGATTATATTATTATTAAATATATAATATAATATATTAAAACAATAAAAAAAACCTCTTTATAAAAATAATAATAAAATAAGAATTTGAATCATTTATGAAAAAAGATTTTCATTATATATATTTTCATTATATATTAAAGTAATATATAAAACTTTTTTATAAAAATAGTAATAAAATAAGAATTTCAATCATTTATGATATAAGATTTTCACCATCAGTAAAATGGCGTATTCTAAATAAATAAAATAAAATAAATAGATATAGTTTACATCATTTATAATATTCATCTATGATGCAAATTATAAATTAAAAGCATATTATAGAAGCATATTGTTTGTCTACAAAGCGAATTATAGAATAAATTTTTGCAGAGGGTTCTTGCACTTTTTTCAAAAACTTCAGAATGATTGGGCACTTTTTACAACTAAACTATGAGAAAGTCTGTATCTCTTTGCGGGTTCCTTTAGTGAGAGGCTTGGGTCTTAAAACTGTTAACCAGTTTTCTAAACAGTTTTATATCTTAAAAACTCTCCTTTCTTCCACTACCAGATTTGCATTTGATCAATTTTGTTTGAGAAAAATGTTGAATATCACAACTAACAGTGTAGGGATGTATTTGCAACTCATTTGCTATTGAATTGTAGCTTATATTCAAACTTTTCCAAATATTTGGTCATAATTTTTTCTCTAATGACTACTTTTTTTGTCATCTTCATAACTTGTTTTAAGTTAAATAGAAAAACTAAAACATTTTTTTGGAATTTTGTTGTAAATAAAATACAAATGCATTTAAATATATATTCTTACAAAAACTAAAAAAAAATGTATTCTTTCACGCTTATTTCGCGTACATGCTTTAAATGAGGCCATCTGTAGTGTCTGAATAATCTTGTGATGAAAGTTTCCCAGAAATTTTCAATTAGAGAAATTTTGCCAAATATTTTGGAAATTTTCAAACAAAAGATAAGTTGTTTTTGAAGATATATTATTTTCTGTAGATATGGGAGAAAATTTTATAAAATGCGATAGGCAGTGGAAAAGCAAGCATTTTCTAAGCATTTTAACAAATTCATGAGTTTAAAATTGATATACTTGATTATAAAGTTTTGCTCATTGATAAAACACAAATGATAGTATAATAAAAAAGCTGTATTTTTTTGCTTGTGGGTTTTTATTATTTTGTATTTTTGGTTCAAATATTCAAAAAATACCTAAAAACCTAAATACTACATTGATCAAATGGATATTTTTGAAATAGTTATTTTTATAAAAGTGTATTTTCTAAAAGTATATAAGCTTAATTAAGTAAAAATTAAAGTTTGAAAATTTCTGGAAATTTTGAGCAAATTATCTTAGAAAATTACTGGGAATTTTCATCCCTAAAATAATCAAATAATAATTTCTACTATGATGAGTTAGTATGAGTGATGAGGGTTGGTGGTAAGATTTTGGTTAAAAAAATCAAGGTGGTTTGTTGCTTTTATCTATTTTTGTTTGAATACTTATTTCTAATAAAATAAGCTAAAGTAAGCTTTAACTTAATCAATGGTTTTTTTAACAAATTTTATGTGAAGCTATTTGTAGTAATTTTAAAACTTCAAACATTTAAATATTGGAGCACATAAAGTTGAGGAAACAACACTCTAGAAAATGAAAAGAGCAGCCCCCCTAGACTATATTAGTCTAGAGGGTTTCTACAGTTTTTTTCAATACACTTTTAAAAATTGGAGCAGAAATTTATATCTTAGGGTAGGTACATACCTTATATCTTAGGGTAGGCATATAATTTAGGGTATCTGTATACCTTATATCTTAGGGTAGGGATATATTTTAGGGTAGCTATATACCTTATATCTTAGGGTAGGCATATATTTTAGGGTAGCTATATACCTTATAAAGTAGAAAGTTATACCAATTTGATTTAAAAATGACAATTGATTATTTGTAATATATTTTTCTACCTTAAAAGATTGAAAATTATACGTTACTTCAAGTATATTGCATATTCTACCCTAAAGAAGAAATTTCTTCCTTTTTTTAAGAGTGTATAGTTGATGTAACATTAATTATGTTAAAAAAAAAAGATTACAAAGATTTTTTCAAAATATGTCAAAAATTAAAATGTTGCCAAGTTTGTTATTGAAATTAAATTGTAGTATAATCTTTATATACTCATAAACAAAATGTTGTTTTAAAAATTTCCTTTTAACAAAAAATATTATACTTTCCATTCTAAGAAGTACTCAGTATAAAATAATTATTAAAATATTAAATGCAAAATAGTTTTCACTTTTTAGTTTATTTGTCTACTTTTTTTTTTTTTTTCTTAAGTTCTTAACTATTTTACTTTATTTTTATAGCGAAGCTTTAAAATTAATAACAAATATTAAAAAAATGTTGAAAATCTAAAAATAAAATGAATGATAAAAATTTTTATAAAAAATATGTATATTTTTTAGTTTCATTTTTGTTTTTATTTCATTTTTGTATCTTTAGTACCTTAATTATATACTTTACACTTTTTATAAAGTTTTTTACACTTTTATTAGCCTGCAAGACCAACAGCAAATATTGAGCCACGGTTTACAGGTATTTTTTATGCTTTATAACGCACATTTATATAGCCATAATACTTTGTTTTAACGGTTTGACCACGGCTGTTAACATATTTTGAAAATTTGAATATTTGAATAATGCGCTGAAAAAACATATCTGGACTAAATGTCAGAAAATAAATAAAACACAAAAAATAAACATATAAACAACAAAAATAAAACCTAAAATACAGAAACACTAAGATTTTTTTAATCAAGTTTTTAATTAAAAATTAAATAAAAAATTTCTTATTTTTATATATTTGCAAATGTTTATAATACATTATGGAAAATACTTATGAAAAAACTAACAACGTCGATTGTTTAAATAATTGTTTTTAAAAATACGCACATTTAATTTAAACTATAGTTGTTCTTTTTACTTATTTAAGTAGGGGAAGTTGGGGCACAGTGGATGGGGTTTCTTTATTTTTTAAATTGAGCAAAAGTTAAAATATGTATTTTATTTTTTTCAAGGCGAAAGGATTGAGATATCCTTTATAATAATAAATCACTAAAACTCAAACATTTATTATCTAACGCCTTGCAGAAAGATTTAAAGTGAGTTGTGTCATGTTATTCAGTGTGCCCCAGTACTGGGGTACAGTGAATCAATGAATACAGCTGTGTATTAATGATAGTGAATAGGGGCATAGCCAAATAACTATGAGGCTGAGGGAGTAAAGGCACTGTACACTACACTTTTGGCATAATTTTTTTAACTAGATTAGTATGATTATTTAATTAGATTATATAATTATTATTGATAACAAAACTTATTTTATTGATAATAAAAATATTGGAAAATTTAAAATTTGTTCAAGTGTTATTATACATAATTTAAAACTAATAAATTCATTTTCATCTAGTTTGTTTGTTAAAAATGCATGAATTTAATCTTTAAGATCATTAATAGGCCATAGTGAATCAACCTTTTCACTGTACCCCGATTCACTGTGCCATACCATAACAAATTAAGTTTAAATCTAATTTCTTGAGACATGAGTGTTGTTAAAAGGAAAGTTAAACAACTAAAAGAAAACATAAATATCAATAATGCAAATGACAATCTTCAACTTATAAAATTATTTTAACCATTATCTCCATAGTAAACGTAAGGAAGGTAAGAAAATTTATTTTAGTTAGCTATAAACAAAAATTGCCAACCAAAAACCGCTAGTCAAAAATTATGTGGTAACAGCTATAAATAAAGATGGCTAATATATGAGCATATGAAATAATTACCTTATCAAGATGAACTAAATTCTAATCTTTGAGAAAATGCCTTTTATTCACTCTACCTTATGATCCAATGTACCCCAACTTCCCCTATAGTAAGTTTCCATACAAATACAGGATAGTAAATATTTCTGCATTTAAAAAAAATGATAATTTATCTTCTCTTTAATTAAAAGTGGTTAAACTTTTGTTAAAAAAATTTTTGAGCAAAATATTTTTATCTTTTTAAGTGTATTAATTTTAATGATTCTTATATAAAGTTAATTAAAAAGACTATCGTTGTCTAAAAAGTTGTCTTACTTTATCAAACATAGTATTTTATGCGTGGTCATATAAAGATTGCACGCCTTCCTGACCAAAACTGGTTAGTGTGTCTTTTTTTTTTTTTTTTGTTAGTATTTAAGAATATTCAATATAAAGATATGGCATTTGGCAAGCATATACTTTAATGTTAATACAGGTTTTAAATAAAGATGTTTGGGACAAAAATAAATGGAGACTAGACTCTAGGTTCTAAAGAAACACTTCAAAATTTTAAATTTTACACTTCAATATTTCAATGAATATTAAAATATTCATTGAAATATTGAAGTGTAAGATTTAAAATTTTGTCATTGGATAGAAAAAAGATTTATCAAATGAAAGATGACTGAAAGTTAACTGTTTTAGGTCTGTAAATAATAAAGTGTGCTCAGTTAACCAGGCTGACTAAAAGAATATTAACTTCAGGATAATCAGGAATGTCTTTGATTGCATAAAAGAAATTGCGTTGTTTATTTTATCCAGTCAGTTACATTCATGAGCAGTGCTTGCTTACTTGTTTGTGTTTATATGAAGAAAAAAAAGTTGTCTCACTTAAGTAGGACCCACTGAAGTTAAGCAAAATATCAGTTATCTAGGCTAGCCTATTTGTCAAAAAAGTTTCATTTTTATAGTTAAACAAGGCGGGATCTTGTTTAAGTGAGCTAGCCCAGTTAACTGGGTTAGTCTGCCTCATATAAATAGCCCCTTAATTACAAAGAAATCATTAAAATTAATGTTTGTTAATTATGAAATTGAATTTTAATTTTGAATGTAAATAATTTATGAATTTTTGTAAAAAATTGTTTTAATCATAATTAATTCACTTTCGCACACCTTCTAGGTACTGAGGCTGTAACTTTACCACGCTTAACAAGAACAATGAATTCTTTAGCAAGTTCTGATATGATAGGTACCAGTACATTACCAAGACCTTATACAAAAAATCAGAGTCCATTTAACATACAAAGGATGTCATGGTGTAATCCTAGATCACATGCTAAAGTAAGTTGACTTCTAAAATATAACATATCTGTGTTATCATACATTATTATTATTGTATATTTTATTGGATTTTATTATTATTATACATATATATATATATATATATATATATATATATATATATATATATATATATATATATCTACAGTTCTGCTAGAGTGATGGTTGTAACATTTGGCGCCCTTTAAGCTATTAAAAATAAACCGAAAATGGAAATGAGCTAAAACTTTCTAGAAATGTGAACTATCAAATAATTTAGTATGGAAAAGTTAAACTTAAACTCTTTAACGTTTTTCAAAAAATAACTCTACATAGACTTAATTTTTGATCGTTACAATCGTCATTATGCATGAAAAATGACATAACAAAAAAGCCAATATTGAAAAACAATAGATAATGAATCGTGCAATGAATGATGTAAAAAAAAAAAGATAAAAAATGTTAATAATGTGCACTTAACATTACTACAAATATGCACAATAACATTATCAAAGGTTTTTCAATACTAGGTTTGTATGATAAAATCGCATTTTTTGTGCCAAAATTATTTTTATTAGAACTTTTAAAACTTATTATACAAACCATATAAAATGAATACCAAGCTCATATATATTGCTAAAAAAAGTTTATTTTTTGGTTTAATTACAATTAAAAATTACAAACTAGATATATCTATATTCTAGAACGTAGAATTCTCACAAATAAAAAGTTCAACAACACCCGGAGGAAATTTCTTTTTTACAGATGAAACAGTTTTTCTATAAGATGAAATATCTGGATCAGATGTACATAAAAGTCTTTTCATTACATCTTCGTTTGTCTTTGTTCTTGAATTTTTATGGGAATGATGTTCCCTATATTTTCTAAATTCTTTATTTCTAGCTTCTTGAGCTTCTTCACTAAATAGACCTATTGGTAAGAATATATTTTCTATTACTTCTGCTCCATGAATTAAGATCTTGTGAAGACTCTGAGGCATGTAATACCAATAGTACAAGCATGAGTAGAGTTTTGCGGTCTCCAGACAAAGTAAGCGAAACTCACTAGTATCTATTAGAAATCCACTTGATATACAAATTAGGATTATATGCAACTTTACAATTAGTTCCTTGTTTATTCCTGTAATATCAGCAAACAAGTCTTCATTTGAAAAACCTTTTCGAGCTGTCATTTGAGTTTCCAGATCCTCCACATTTTGGGTAGTCATCAATAAGTGCCATTTTGTGTTGAAATTCTTTGTGTATCTTCATTTTTTGTTCTTTAACAAGAGATTTCTCTTCGTCTCTTCTTGCTTGCCATTTTTTTATTGGTATCTTATATGAAATATGAATGAGACACTCAAAATATCTTATCCATTCATGAAGTGTAGATAATCCATGTTAAAGCTCATCTGGTAAGTATGGAAGTTTTGTAACTTTGTCAATGTTATTCGTGTCTTTTGGTAAACACCCGCATATACAGCAACATTGACTAGAGGTTGTTACATTTGATAGAGCAGTATGGACTTTGCTATCTATCATTGTAACCTGAATGATATGTTTGACTGAAATAGACTTGCCATTAGATAACTGAACAAAATTTTCTACAAGATTTAAGATCTCGTCTTTTAAAGTAACTTCTTCAATAAGTAATAAATCAGTTGCTTCTTTTTCAAATTTAAATCTTAAAGGTCGGCAATATAAAGTGGAAGAAGGTTTTGGATTTCTCCAACTGACAGTTAGGGTTTGTCTAACATAAGTTGTAATCTGAAGTGTAACCAGGCAAGTTAGAAACAATGGTTCTTCTCTTTTCAAGTCCCGAAAACTTTCAAAAAACATTTTTTAATTGTATATGCTTTGACCAGTAGACCCATCAAAACCTGATTTATAATGAAGAGATACCAGGTCAAACATTTCTAGCATACATAAAACCTCATTTTGAACTTGACAAAGTCTTTGAGCTGTATGGTCACATAAACTTTGCAGTGGTATACTTGCAGTATAGTCAGTAAAAATCATGTTATTAGGGTAGCACAAAAGTTTTGATGATTTTATATTGTTATATGCAGGATACAGGTTGCATTCTTTTTTAATTGCTGCATTTCTATGGAGTTGAAACGGAGCTTTGGTCATTTTTGAATCTAGCATCAACGACAATGCTTCATTTCCAGAAAACATTGAATAATCTACATTCTTATCTAAATATATTTTGTTGATTGCTTTAGCTTTTTCTATTTTTCCTTCTTTATTTAATGAAACTTTTGAAGCAAAAAATAGCTCATTTGACGAGTGACTTTTTTGGAGTTTACTAACACGTCAATACTTAGTTCTTGAAGAACATTCTTGAAAGTCAGTAATTGTTGGTCGACAAGCGCTGGAAGTAGATTGAGAACTTGCAAGAGGTATGGTTATTTTGCAAGTATGCTGGTATCATATATAACAAGTATCATATATAACTAAAAAAAAATAACTATTGAAACCTTTGGTAAAAAAAATCATACATAATTAATTTCCAGTTAAAAAGTCATTTAAAATATTTTAGTTTCAAGAACTTATAAAAAACGTGTTTTTCCAATAAATTCTATGAATCGAGTATGAGTTAATTGTTATAACTTTATTAGTTGCAAAAAGTTGCAACTAATAAAGATTAAAAAAATATATTTATGATAAAATGCAGTTAAGATATGTTAAGCATTAGATTTACATAACTAAATGTTTTGAGGATATTGGAGGACAGTTTAACTGATACCTAATAGTAAAGGTTAGTAGCAAAAAAAAAAAAGCCAAAACTGCCTGTCACTGATGCATAAAAACTCAAGAATACACTTAGGTTTAATGGATTTGAATAGTCAGAGCGAAAAAAACAGTTAATTCAAATAATATATTTTAAAAGCATACTCAATAAAATTAATTTAAAACAATAGTAGCGTAAAAAAGTTGATAATTAAAAAATGCAAAAAAGCGTTTTGAAACAAGTCAAATTCATGTGTATATAACCGCATAAAACAATGTTTAAATTAATATTTAATGTTTTTTTAACTATATATTTCCTCTAATAAACATATTTTCACCATTATGACATATTTTCAGAATACAATGCCGATAGTGATTTTTTAGTATTTTGGCACACTCTGTCCCTGTGCATAGGTTAAAAAATTAATTCTTTTAGAAAAATAAAAATATTAATTTTTTTAATTGTTTTACAAACCCATTACATAATAGATTTTGAAACCAAAAACTTTCCATTTTTTCTTGCAAGAAATGCATTTTGCTAATATTTTTAACCACTTTGGCTTCTTCTATTTGATCAGCTGTAAAGGCCCAACTTAGATTAACATCATTTGTGTTGATTAGCCTAAAATAAGTTAGGCTAATCAATACACATTTTGCACCTATTTGATGCTGAGAGAGAGTCTTTAGCGTTTAAGGCAACCGCTTCACAAGATTTTATACTATTCCAAACAAATCGCTTCAATGATCTTCCTACTCCATCAACTGCTCCTTTACCATGAAAGGTAGCAAAAAAACTCCACTCTAAACTTTGAAAATAATACTTCACAGCATGTTGCATGAATTGGGCCATGTATCTATTTTTGAATTGAGGGCAAGGATCATCACTCTATAATATGACTTTTTTTATATAATCAATGCAATAGAGGTCAAATATTTCACTTAAGTAAATAGTAGTTTATTATTAATATTTAGATATTTATTATTAATATTTAGATATTTATTATTAATATTTAGATATTTAGTTTTATCATTATTATCAGATTTTATTACAACTGATTTTGGCATAAAATTTAAAATGTTGAAACTTTTAAACTTGTTAAAATTTAAAATGTTAGTAGAGAATTTAAGTTTTCATTCTTAAGCTTTGTTTGCAAACCTTTGCCTGATTTTATTACTTGTTTTTTTTTCTTGATATTAATATTTATCCCTTGATAACTTCTCTATCTTTCATTTTCTGATAATGCTTTTCTGTTTTTTTTGCTTTATAAGCTTTTGTTTTATAAAAGCTTCTGTTTGTGATATACGTTCTGTTATGGTTTTAAAAAAATCCTGTGAAATGTTAAATCCCGCAAAATTAAAGAAGCAAAAATGTTGCAGTGCAAACTATAAACAATGTTTTTCTAAAAAATTTGCCTTTTACTTAGAAGATTTTAACAAATAATAACTTCTTAACAAATAATAACTTTTTAACAAATAATAGCTTTTTAACAAATAATAACTTCTTAACAAGTAATAACTTCTTCACATCAATTATTTCAAATAATTTCTTATACCATATAGAACAATCTGATCATTCTTCTGCAACAGCTTGCATTGGTTTCTGAATTTTTTATTGCAAACAACTATTTCAATATTGTTGATACTCCTAGATTGACAAGTGAAAATACTCTCACTCAATTTTAACCCAAACAAAACTCATCTATTTACTGCTAATATTTATTACAATATAAATAATATTCCTATATTGAATGATGTTAAAACTCTTGCTGTTCTCTACTTTATGTTATCTCAGATTATCATTCACTACCGACAATTCATAGAAACCTTATATATAATCCTTACCATATATATAATCCTTTGCGAAGTTAGCATCTGCTAAGATTAAAGATGAAGAGATAAATGACAAATATTTAGATAAAGAGAAGCTTAATAAAAAATGACAAAAAGAATTTATTTGCTTCAATTGAAACATTTTTGTATAACATTCCTCAGGATGTTTATTATTAGTTGATTCGATGGATTGTTGCTCTGATGCTCTTATGCTTAAAGGCAAATGAATGCCACTAAATTAAAAGAAACTGTTTTATTGATAAACTGTAATTTTTTAAGTTTTTGTAAAAATTTCAGCTTTTTTTAAATAAATAATAATCAAAATTCAGTTTTTCAACTTTTGCGTAGAAGCTTTTTTTTCTTTTTAAAAAAAAAAAGATTTTAATTGATTCACAATTTTTTAAATTTTTTAAATGTTTTACAATTAAGTTTTACAATTTTTGTGGTTTGTTTTTTGAA